CCAAGTTGGACTCAAAACAAGGAAAAGCACGCAAATGGGAATTAAACTATGCCTTAAGTTGGTGGAGTGCTTATATCTTCACATTAAGCTACTAGTATATTAAATTAGCACCAATGTAGCATATGTGATCATGAGATGAAATTTGGATATACTGTCACCATGGATCCTTGGAATCTTGGGGGATAAATGGGGATAAAATAGCCACTAAGGGCTCTCTCATCAAGCAATTGCCCCTTTTCCAGTTGGCTTAAAGGGAGAGAAATAAGATGCACTGTAGTTGGTATCGGAGCAAATGGCACGGGTTCGATTCCCATTGATTAATGGCTATTTAAAAATATAATATACCCTTGAGTAAGGTATATTCCTACCTCTAAATTTAAAATCATACGTATTGGGCATCCATACATACATCCTTCCTCTTGTGTGGAGTATCTACGGACGAAAGTATCCACCATAAGACTGCGGTACGGGTGGATGACTAATTGTCTCACATGGAATAGCTAGTCTACACAATAGAAAAATTGGTACATTTAGTGTGGAAATGGAGGTGCAATAGTCAATAGTCAATAGTCAAAAGATTGGAGGTGCAATAGTCAATAGTCAATAGTCAAAAGATTGGTACATTTAGTGTGGAAATGGAGGTGCAATAGTCAATAGTCAATAATCAATGAGGACATTGACATCTCTAAAGGGGGGGTGAATGTAATAAAGTGCGCTACAACCAAACTTATATGAGCCATTTCGTGCTCCAGTTCATTCGCTCCTTGATTATACTTTCAGAGTTTGTTCTATCCTTTCATTCAATGGCCCAAGGCCTTGAAATTTAAATTCCACTCTATTACCCTTGGCCCACGTGTCCAAGGGTTACATTCTACTTTATGGTTATCCTATAGTATATCACTATAAGGTAGAAGGTGAAAACTATATATATTACATTTAGTATCAAACGATATATCTCAGTAAGTACTATCTAATGAGATTGGGTAGTTGTATATGTAGTGATAAAAATGATTATTTGAGTGGGTACACATTTCATTGCTATGACTTTACATGAATCTTTACCAATTGCATGAGCTTTCACTTGGGCTCATAAAATGGATGTGAGATATACCATTTACATGAGTTTGTGCTTGGGCTCATGAGAGTATATTAGCAACTTAATGTGACACTTTAAGTTGGTAGATTAATATTGGTGTATTAGTGGTTATCATAAATGCTTCATATTTCTGTAGA